CTTGTCTGAAAAATATAAAAACAGCCACGACGAGGGTAAACGTATTAACGATTCCACAACGCGCCCCAGGGAAATAAACATATACATTTAAAAACGTGTCCTGCGGGTAATAGTAGGAGGACTGGGAAATGGTAATTTATATATTATGACTCACCTACATATAATGTTCGTCTGCAGAGTGTCCGTATCACTCCGTAGTCGTATATAGATTCGTATATTTATATGTTATTACGTTATGTGTGTGGCGGTGTATTTTTTTTCCTTTCGTATTCTCATCGATACCGTTGTTCGGCCGCTCGATATTAGCCAAAACGAACATTGTGGGGGACGGGAGAACATTAAAATAATAAAGGTGGCAATCACGCGCACGTCGCTCGGAGAATGCTTTTTTATATTTTATTTTTCTTTATTTGGCCCACCCACGGCCGACACACACCGTTCGCGATAATGTCGGTCGGTCGGTCGTCGTCGTCTTCGTCGTCGTTTACCAAAGCGATACACACGATTTACCATCATTACGGGCCCCTCGCATATTATTTTTTATAATATTATACATTTTACATAGAGACTATAGAGCTGAATATCCACCCAGCGTGTACCTGCAGTATAACCTACACAACACGCGTAATTATTATTTCATTACCTACCCGAAAATAATGCGCTCGTGTTTATAATAATGCACCTAATAACGCGTTGTTTTCACCGTTTCTACGTTATTATTATCTAATAATAATAATATAATATACACATTTATAGTCTGCACTCCGCAGCAATCGTCGTACCTATATTATAAACTACGCGAGTTTCGATATATCTACCGCCACCGCCTCCGTCCTCCGAGCGGTCGGGCGACCTGTGTGGTCGAAAGACATTGTCACGAATCAACGGTACCTTTATATTATATATATATGTACTTATTATTTATTATTAGTTATTACGTATACGATTCACCGTCGGCGGGTGGGTCATTAGCGTGTGCTGCGCGTGTTATTATATAATACGCATTATACATATTGTGCCCCGCTGAAGCTGTGGATACGCGATTATTATCAAGAAAAATAGTTAGACGCGACTAGAGAAATAGATCGACGGACAGTGTGTGTGTTCGTGTTCGCTAGAGATACAACGGGATCGTTGATCACGGACCCGATAGAAGATAATATATTATTAGGTATGCGTACATAAAAGTTATAAAAAACCTTACTCTGCACGATATTTGGCCAGAGGAATGGCAAAAGATATCAATTAAATTATGCGAAACCAAAAGGTCAATCATCCCCCTAGAGATTTCACCGGAAAAGAGACGGTTATAAACCGACTTAGAATTGGACAGTGGGCACATATCTATAAATTATAATCCACGGTCACCTAATGTCAACTGAAAAACCTCCTCCATGCAACACTACGTCGTACAACTCTCAACCATCACCCGGTTCCACGAAATTCATAATCCATTAGTCCCGATCCATTTTCTTCAAGCAAGTTATTTAAATTGTTGAATACAAAAACTACACACTTTAGATAAAATACAGGACAAAACCACTTATCTTTTTACGGTTAAAACCACACCCTTTTTTTAGGTTGTATTCAAAAACTCAACATTTTATAACTACCTAAAAATATAGGTATATATTTTTAAATGTAAAATATAATATTTATTGGGTATTTATTCATATATTTAAATTAAAAAAATACAAACGAAATTACCATCAACTAACTACACAATACTCATCGTATTTGTAAACATTGGTAATTTTTTAATTTCTAATGGTAAGAATATCACAATTTAAAACAAAATTTAGTTATTCTGCAAAATCTTTTAGTTAACTTAGTAAAAGTTTCCTACGTTGAGGATACCTACTTCTGGTCTATATAGACTAAAAATAGTTCGCGGTATCTCGCTGGACGCTGTTCAATGAGCCGATAATGTGTGTGATGGATTTTGTCTTATGGACCTTTTTCGAATCGAACTCATAAGTTTGCGGTATTTGGAAACCTACAAACAAAATATACTAGCAAATCTGTATCATGCTGAAATTTAAAAGCCATCGCGTAGTGTTCAATATTGTTTATATTATAATATATATATTTAGTTTAAGCTTAAAACTTGTTAAATACAATATTACATTTTTAGTTCAACGGTCGTTGAAGTCTAGTGCGTTATATTATATTCAAACAAATAAATAAATACAAATGATAAATTCTAACGAAAAAGCGCTTTCGCCGTGTGTGCAACGTTCTACATACGTAGTATAAACAAATTGACCGGCTTCCTGTTCCCGTGTTTCGACGGAGATTGGTGTTGATGTGTTTTTATCGAATCATATATTATTATATACTATTATTATCATGTGTGCGCGGGTTTGTGTGTGTGTGTGTGTGTGTGAGTGCAATTGAAACCCATTAGCTCCTCGGTTCTCATATTATTATTATTATTAAACATGCGGCTGTAACTCGTAAACACAGCGTGATGTGCGGGGGCCCCTGCAGTAGATGATGATAATATATTATAACTTCTTATTTTTTTTCTCTGGTCGCACACACACGTTTCAGTATATTTCGTCGAGCAGCTATATTATAATGCACCGTTGTCCTATTATAGGCGTGTTCGATATATATGTATGTAGTATATACACACCTAATGACGATAATATTAATATTATTATCGTAACGCGTGCAGTAGGTATAATAATGTCTCGCCGGGCGAGAAAGACGACGACACGAACGTCTTCGCGGTCTTGTATCAGTTGTATATTACACGTCGTACACTTATATTATATACGTAATAACAAATAATATTAAATTATACGATTATGGTCTTCCGCTGGTTGTTGCCGGCGTTGTAGTCTTCTTGGACGATCTCCGAAATTCGGTACACCTTTAACACACGACGACGACACTCAGGTCGCGTCTACATACTCGTATAATATAGGTATAAGTGTTTATTACTCATCTGACTCTATACGACTATACGTATATTACGCTCTTTAGCCGCTATATTTATATCTTACCAATATTAAAAACAAATATATTTTATAATATGTTCCGCGTATATATTATAATATCCCTGTCGAGTGTCGGGGGACTCTATAGGTACGCGTTTTCTGATCGGCTCAGGTACCTCGACATCTGTGAGGCGATTCATTCCTCGGTCTGGTACATTATAATTAATATTAATTGTTATTAAATAAATTGGCTATATTTCTCCAAAAATAAGATACTGTGTTCCTAAAAAAAAAATAACGAATCTTAACCATTTTTGTCCACAATATGAACCTAAGAAATTGTCACACACTTATATATATAATTTTCTGACTGAATAAATTGTCTTAATGATTAAACGATTTTTAAATGAAAAACATTAGAAGTATACTAACCGCTTCGGGATTTCAGACGTACCAAACTTAAAGCTATACAAAAAAATTATTCGTTGAACCTATAAGACGAGTAGGTATAATATTATTATACATTATATTCGGTAAACAAAGAATTTTTTTTTATCATAACATTTTTGTATGAATGAAACACACCGAGTGGGTTGAACCTTAAATAAATTGAATTCGTCATGTAGGTACTTTGTGGAACGGTTACCGAAAATGGCCAATTGTTAATGCGTTGATAAAAAAAAAAAAAAAAAATAGAATAGTCGTTATTGCATAATAATATAAGGTATATAGTTTCACTGTATATAGGGCTTTCTTTTCTGTGCGGGCTTCTCATCCGTTGAAAGCCTATATAAAAAAAAAGTTTTTTAACCAGCTGATATTCGCATTTCGCAATTCCGTATCGTATATAATCATAGTACATAATATTATGGACAAGGATAACTCATAGGCCGAAACTCGTCCATCGACCTATAATAGCATCGCTTGCGTTATCACTCCTCTCGGTCTTCGTACCCGATGCAAAGATAATTGCATTGTTGGAAGACTCGCGATGATGGTCTCTTCTCGCATTCTGTATAACGGGATCGTCAAAATCGTTCATAAATAGTCAGCATTAAAAAATAAATCTAAAAAACGGATCTGTATTGTTCCTTTAAAGAGGAAACATTCAAAAAACGATTACGATCAATGTATAAAAGAACGTTTTTTTCCCCTCCAGATCAAGACGTTCCGCGCGTTATTATGTATAGGTACCTAGCTATACGCCTATAGGTACCCACCTAAATATATTGTTGACGAATTCGTTTTTAAAAATTTACCGTGACAAAGGAGAATCTTGAATGCGTCCGACTAATTCCCAACGCCCTTAATTGACTTGTTTTTTCGTTCGAAACGATTAGCCTCGTCGTATAATAATGAAATACACATCATTCGAGCTAACATCACACGATTTAATATACAATGAGCGACCTCGAACGCGTTTAAGGGAATCCGCGTAATACTCTCTTCATTCATTATTCGGGTGTACTAAATTATTAGATAATTTAGGTATATATAGCGCGTTATACATGCTTACTCACTCTGGCGCAGGGGGTTCGACTTATTAATGAAACGCGAGATATCTCGATATAATTGTGTTAAAGTCACGTATCATTATTGTCGGATAAACATCTGGTCCGGCAGCTCTGCGGTGGCATTAGTCGAGTCACAGTAACCTATAATATGTATTACATAATATTAATATTATATAGTTGGAATAATATTATTGTCCGAATATATTGATAATAAATACAATGAAATACTAAATTACTATATATTATTGTTATTATTATTTACTACCCAGTGAAAGCTCTAAATACTATAAATACCGAATAGATACTCTCCGAAATTCTGTCCACTAGGAGAATAAATTTCACTGTAATATTACTATCGTGCTGTGTGACCACTGACCATACCCATGGTCCGAAACTATCTAGTATCTACAATAGGCAGTTTTAAACGCAATACCTATAAAATTATTATAGTATAGTCTCATATGTATAAAATAATGTTCGTATATTATTGTAATGATTGATAATCGTACATCGCTAACGAAGGAATTTTTTTCTCTTACAGGCGCTTACTTACAAGTGTGTGGGAAATCACAAGAGACATGTTGTCACGAAAACTCCGAACCACAACTGGTGACTGTCGGCAGAAGTATGTACGACGACAAACTGCAGACTTCGTTAAAAACCCTAAGCGGCATGTACAAAGAGAAAGCTGCGAAATTCGATGGTTAGTATTTACCAATCACTATGTATACGATCAATAGGTATTATTCAGTATACGATCAATATGTATTATTCAAAAACATTCTAATTGATTTACGCATACGAATTTAATATAAAATGTGCATCTGTACTCTGCAGTCAATAATCAATTGGTCGCGTTTATTTATTAATTTTTTTCATTTCGTTTCTTGTGCACATGTTTAGAGTACTTCAAGGATATGCTGAACAAGGCCAGAATGGGTTTCCACGACATGTTCAAAAAGACGTACGGAATGATGTACGAACAGAACTCGTACCTGTTCCAGGATCTGTTCCGGGACCTGGAAAAGTATTACGACGCTGGAAACACGAACATCGTCGAGGTGTTGGAAAACTTCTTCTCCGTGCTTTGCCAGAAAATGTTCACAGTCATGAACAGCCAGTTTACGTTCGACGCAAAGTGAGTGATTTTCTATAATATACGTAGTTTTATCATTTTGACGCCCATCTTATAGCTCTATGGTATAATGCTCATATTCAAACCATATAGCTTTTCCCATTTGCGTCTCGTACATAATATATATGTCAACTGTATATATGCGTTTTTAATATTTTATTCGCTCTATATATAATGTATGAGTATTGTATACGATCTCGCGACAATATCTCTCGGAAAACTTTTTCTGTTTCTGCCTGAATGAACGGAGAACTGCTCTTGCGGTCGACTTGGCACGAACGACGCGAGCGATTTCGTAGATTTCCGTCACGTTTTCAAAAGTCCACGCTGCTGCACGAGTTCCGTTTTCCAGCATACAACTTTATGATATATATCATCGGTTTACCATCATATAGAGGTACGACTGACACAGCTGTGGTCACGAATGCTCATGTGGGTAATAACACACAAATATATATAGTCACACAATAGCTATATTTCGGGACGATACAGCAGGGTGATTCACAATAAGAATGCTCATCCTCGTTTATCCTAGCATTACGTATTTCTAAATGATTCGATTTGTTATACCATGATAACAATATAGTATCGTTCGACGGTAATGCACATTCCTTTTTTTTTTTTCAAACGAGACAACCTCCCTTTTTTATAATGACAGTATTATATTATACTATATGTTTTAGTACCTATTTATTATTTATAGTTTTTAGTATTATAGATCTAGTACTTATTATTGTTTTATTTATACTCGGACAGTTAATTTATAAAACGCAAACGGCAGATTATAAAATCGATTAGAGTGATTGCTATAATTTTAAACCATCACGGCACACTATAATTACAACATAAAACTTAACATTTGAACTAATGATTTAAGGATAGGTACAATGGGGATGCGCATATGCTTGGTGAGTGGTGTTTTCCTGAGATGATTTTTCCGATTACTGCGACCGTACTTTCTTAATAATATTGCTGCAGGGTGCATTTTCCGTATTGGTATAATAATATTGTACTCGCAGTAGGTACAGTATAGGTACTTCGTAGTGTTCACTCACATTGTTTTGTGTTTTGTGCTTACGATTTTTACTTATACCGCATCTCCAGCGAGGAAACGAATGTTTTTGATTTAGTTAGTTCGAATTATGTTAACTTAAAAATTAAAATTAGCAATAGGTATGGTACTCTAGGCACCAATAAGCACCATAAGTAAAGTTTGTATGTATAGGCTCGGTACTATATAATACATATTTCCTATGTGATTTCGGGGGATTATAACATACATTATATATTCTCCAAATTTGTAGTATACAAAAGAGCTAGGCTAGGCTATATTTATTGTATTACAAAATTGGTATAGTTTAGAAGATCTTAAAACGTGAGAATTTAAAATATAGTCCTAAGGTAAATTATGCAAAAAAGGGTACCTATATGTCAGAAATGTATAGGAACATTTTTTGGGACCTACTTATTTTAATTAAGTACCTATCTGTATAATAATTTTAAAAAATATATAAGAATAAATAAACAACAATAATACTAACATATATATCATTAGTAAAGGTTGATCATAGCTACATTTTTCTAACCTTGTTCGATTATGTGTTTTTCACAGGTATTTGGTGTGCGTCAGCGAGAGCATGTCGGAGGTAGCGCCCTTTGGCGACGTGCCCGACAAACTTTCGGCGCCGCTGAAAAGGTCATTTGTCGCTTCCAGAACGTACGTCCAGGCACTGAAAATAGCCGGTGACATTTTGGCCAACATCAACAAGGTTCGTTTTACACCGTGAACGTATTATAATATGTTTTATTTAATTCATTATATACCTATTAAGATGACGCCACACCCGCATGGTTGTCTCCGTCTTACACGTACGACATAGACAAAATGCGTTTACGCAGTCTGAGTAGAACTCGCTCAATTTTGTTGTTAGATTAAAAACACCAATTAAAAAATAATAGAGTATATTATTATTTATTATAATCTAATAGCATTGGCAGTATAATAGAATTATTTTTGGAAATCAGGATCATTCACGATGTCGCCATGTCGGGGACTTGAATGAATTTGGTTTTAAAATAAAAATTTTATTAATGGCTCAACGTAAGTGCGTAATTGAATTTAGGTCTTAGGGGTAAATTTAGTTTGTTTAAGGTATACTTAATATATTAAATGGGTACCTATATTACCTATACCAGTTAGTTGTATATGATTTCGTCTTTTTGACATATTATATTAGCACAATATACTATAATAATGTTTATTATTTATGTATACATATAATTTATTATTTTTTTGGAATTTATAATTCGGATACCTAATTGAAGTTTTATATCAAAATGTGATTGTTGAATTATAGAGGGAGGGGAAGCTGTGTTATTAAACCAAAAACTCTATATATACTTGCGTGGTTCGTGGTTGCTATATACTATATAGGTACTAATATGCGATCGATTTATAATTTTAGATGGCGCCTACTCAAGAATGTTTGGTCGGTTTCTCCAGAATGACTCAATGCCCGGCTTGCAGAGGACTGCAGGACAGCAAAGCCTGTAACGGATATTGTCTGAACGTCATGAAGGGATGTCTGGCGTACCACTCGCAACTCGATCAAGACTGGAACGCGTTTTTGGGTAAGCCATTGGAAGATAGTTTTTTATATCGATTTGGATACACATACAACATAACTGTATTCCATTTACAGATATCATGGAGAAGGTTAAAAAGCGTCTTCTAGGGCCGTTCAACATCGAACTGGTCGTTATACCGATCAATGTGAAGATATCTGAAGGAATAATGAACTTCCAAGAGAATTCTCAGAATGTTTCGCAAAAGGTTTAATTATGGCAAAATTATAGTATAACCCCACATACCCTAGTAACCCGTTAACAAAAAAAAAAAAAACATTCGCACTACAGTCAAGTCCCTAAAAATGTACACCTGGTCAAGTTTCTCTATTCATACCTATTAAATGTTGTGAGCGAAAAATCTTTGTGATTTCTGTGCCCGAAAATAAAACTACTACACCGGTCATGGTTAAAAATAGTTGAGGGGGAGGAACCAAAATGCGATGTTCCGATGTTCGATGATAATGTTTATACCTATTACTAACGTGTAGATATAATATATAGTAAGTCTTCCGGATCGATATTCCCTTTTTATTATGGCCTGTGTGGGACTGAAAGTTCGATTTTCTTATAACTTCGACCCCTCCCCCCAACTGCTAACCTCGGAGGAAATAAAACCACTCTGAAACTATATCCGGAAACTTGTTAATGGTTGTCATTATTGTGCTCGTGTCTAACAGGTGTTCTCCAATTGCGGTAAACCGACGTTGGGTCCATCGCGTAGGCGCCGTCGCCGCGACGTGTTGTACAACGGCGACGACTACTACGACTACCAACAAGGACGGGTGATGAACGACGGTAAGAACAAGGATGCCGGTAAGGCCGACGAGGACGATGACGACGATGAGGACGACGAAGACGACGAATATGACGACGTGAAACCGGCGGTGCCGCTCAGGCCAGAACGAGAAAAAAGAAACGTCCGGAAGAGGGCGGAGAACGGAAGAAGCAGCAACAGCAGCCGCAGAGAAAGAAAAAAAAACACACAACGGCCCGAAGAACGGTGCCGGCGGTGGAGGAAACAAGAACAGGGAAAAAAGAACAACAGAACAACGGTCTCGAAGACGAGGAAGAAGACCAAGGAGGTCCTGCTTTCGCGTTCCACAGACTGCTCAAGGACATCGGCACCCATGTGTCTTCCACGAAAAACTTCTGGAAGAGGTTGCCGTATGAGGTGTGCAACAATGATGTAGCCGTGATCGAGACTGTCCAGAACTCCAGTTGCTGGAATGGATCTGCATTGGCCAGGTAATTATAAATAATTGTGCTCAAGACTGGTACCTATTAGTTTAGGGAGGGTAAAAACTAAACATAATATATAACCGGACTTTAAACGCTATATTTTAAAAACAAAAATACAATTAATAAAAATTTCTTGATTTTATCTGGAAGTTGATGAAAAAAAATTTACATACTATGTATTATATTTATAAACCCATAAAATGTACTAAAAAATGGTGTAAATACTCGTAATACATTCTCTTCGAAAAACTGTCAAGATATGCGATCGACTTGGAATCTCCCAGTGATTTATTTACTTATGAACCTTGTATATGGCTAGGTGTCTGAGTGTCTCTAATTTATATGCATAACAATTCCTTGAAATATGTTCATAAAAACCACATTTTTATAAAAATATATAAAATATATTGCTAAGAAACGGACGAAATTATTTGTAGCTCCGTTTAAATCTTAATATTCCAAGTTAAACATTGAAAAACTGTACATTGTTCACTACGTCCATCGTAAACATATAATTTATCGTAATACATATTAAGAATAGCAAACTTAAAGAATAATTTTGTTTTCTATCGAGATCATTACCTTAAAATAGGTAAACATCCGCAAGCCATAAGCCAGCTGTAAAATATACATTGTATAATCGAAATATCGTAAAATTTGGATATAGGGACACAAAGTTTCGAGTCTTATCCATAGCGTCATGGGACGTATTTGTGGTTTATACTAATAAGTAATAGCTGTATACAACAATTCGGTCGATCGGAGAAAATGAGCGATTAATGCATGCAAATCTGAGACTTCCCGAAATATTGATATATTCAGTGGCGCCAAACTATATTTTAAAAGGGGGCAAGTAAAAAGTTATACGGACCACCGCCCCTGTTTACATATGTGCTGCATATGTATACATTATAATAGCTTAGGAGTAAGGAAAATAATTCATAAATAGTTTGTTGAGGTATCCACAAATCCCCACGACCCCACCCACAGGCGGTCGCCCCTCTTAGGTTTATAGGTTCGGCGCCACTGGATATATTATTCTGATCATTGTGTTCTATCATGCGATTAAAGATTTTATACGTGTATAATATAGTGTGTACATTACAGACACACATTGGTAGAATATTTGCATTTTTATCACACAACCAGAGTTATAAATCATCTTTCCATGATTAATCCTAAGCTCGGTCTACAGCAATTCTTCACTCTTTCCTATTATTTGGTTCCTCTTAATTTCTTAAGAATTACCTAATTGGTCCATCACTATAAATATTGGTCTCATATATTATATTCTAATTCGAGGTCTTACCCTTACATTTTTACTTTCCATTCACCAATTTCTACAACAACTAATCTATAAGCTACACATAATTTTTTTTTTATTAGTAGGATTATTATTTCTCTGTAGTCACCACATCCACCTAACTTATCTCGAATAAACTTTAAAATGTTTCACCGATTTGTATTATATACTTACTCCAAACATATGTTTTTCGCTAATTATATTTCTTGAAATAAAGACTCCTTTTTTTTGATTAAATGCCATTTTAGCTTGACACAATCGTTTAATTATTTCTTTTTTACCTCTTCCATCCATACTATTATAAATTATAATACTCCCCCCTGTAACAGTATGTGGACTTTGTTTTTCAACTTATTTACTTCAACCCCTCTCAATGTCAGGTTTAAATTATTATAATTTACTGACATCGAATTATGGTGAATTTTTTTCAGTTACGGCAAGGAGGTGATGAGGGACGGCCTCAAAAACCAGAAGAGGAATCCTGAGGTGCCGGTGGACGTAACACGACCGAGCAGCCTGCTCAACGAACAGGTGTACGCACTCAGGGCACTGATCAACCTTCTGAAGAATGCGTACCAAGGGCTGGACGTAGAGTGGGACATGGAAGAGGTGTTCCACGGCGGCGAGTCGAGTGGCGCCGGAGCGATAGCGTCGTCAGGCGACGGTTCCGGCGACGAGGATTCAGACTCCAGCGGCGGCTACATGTCCTCCACTTCTCCTCCGCCGCCACCACCGGTGGGCGGAAATGGCGCGGCCACGACGGCCATCAACGCGGCTGGTACGACGACGCCCTCGCCGACGCGAACGGCCACAGACCCGTCCGATGGAGGCTCGGATTCGGGATCGAGCGCCGGCCACAAGGTCAAACCGACGCTCCAAAAGGCGCTGGCCACGTACCTGTTGCCGGTGGTGGCCGTCTGGTTCGGCGGCTCGTTCCTCGAGTGGATTCTGTGAGCGGGCAAACGATATTGTCCGTCGCGGTTTTTCTAAATTTTATTATTTCCCGATTTTATTATTATTTAACTCTTGTCGTTTTCGGACGGTGCCATAAATGAAGAAGAAAAAAACAACAACAAAAAAACGTTCAACGCGTGTTGTTTGACTGTGATAAATTTTTTCTTTTCTTGTACAAATTTATTCGTTAAGTAGCGTAGTCGCGTGTATATAATATGGTGGCCCGGCGCGACTACCTCATCCTTGTCGTTATCCTCGGACGGCAGACGGGTCGGCCCCAGACTTCCCTCGAGTAACCTGTAACCAGAGTCTTCTTCGAAAGCATAATATATAATATAAAGTTAATAGTGACGTCACTTTGTATATGATAGTTTGTTGTACAACTAAACATAATACCTAACATTGTATGTAGGACGCTAACATAATATTATTATTATTGTAATGTATTCGTTTTAGTTTTAATTAATATTATAAGTATATATTATTATGTTCAAATATCTCGTCATGCAGCTTGTAATTGGTTGTTAATGTTGTTATGGTTAAGAATTTATAAACGTATATCTCTCAATAGATCAATACGTTAAACACTCGATACGCCGACATTACAATGTATATAATATTATTATCATTTTTTATATATTTATTCTAAATTACCAGGTTTTCAAGTAAATTTCCCCTCAAGTCCCAAAACTCTTTCAGTCAAATAAAGACATTTGGCTCGCACCACAATAAGGAGCAACCTGGTGGTGTATTTTGTTTTCAATGATTTTTATTTGTTTTAATTTTTAAGTGAATTAGTCTAGTCAACATTCTCATGAATTGTAAAAATGTAGCTAAAAAGAAAAAATGTACAATTTTGATTTTCATTTATACAATTTTTTTTCTTTAATATATACATTTTTTTTTATTGGGTAAATATATTTTTGTAATACATTATTGTTTTATACATAAACATATGTGATTTAAAAATAATCTTATGTGCATAATATCATAAATATTTGTACAAACATATTATTGTCTGTCTTTCTACAAAAGAAGGGTCCATGTTTCGTTGTTAAGGCCTTATTTAATACTAATCTATAAGTAAATAAAATTATAAAATAAAACTTTTTTGTCATAAGTTTACTTGTAATGTAATTATGTACTTATATCATGTATATAAATAATTTATAACTAAATAAAAAAATATTAAATAAAAAGAAACTTTACATTGCGTATGTGTTGTGAAAAATTATTAAATTTCAAATGTGTCATCAGGAAACGAGAAAATAGTATTTTAGGGACTTAAACATACGAAACAGTCGCCCTAGGTCAATAGGATAATGCATTTCAGAGAGCAGATACACATATAAAACTCAAGGATTCTCAGCAGCATATAAAGTATACAGGATTCAGCTACAGAAGGCCAACCATTTGTGTGGTCTGCCTCAAAGCGTTTTGTTAGAATGGGCAGTTCTGAGTTTTAGCTCCATTTATTTGCTTGGCTTCCACTAGTTTGAGTTCGAGAACCTGTAGAAAAAAGATTGTATTGAACACCATTAATATAGGTTTAAATAGACATGACTTACATGTACTTTTCTCATCAGATCTCCAACGATATCGCCAACTCTAGCTAATTTGGTGGGTGGTGAATGAAATACAACATTTCCACTTAAACCTAAACAAATTGAATAATAGCACAGTTCAATATCAATTCATCTAAAATATTTTGTATTAATTTACTTTTTGAATGACTTTTTGGCGTGTTATCTGCTGAAGATGACAGTCTATTGTCTACTGCTGCCCTAAAACTGCTACACCGCCTGACAGCAGCTGCAGCTTGAGATTCATTCATTTCAGGATTCAATTTGCGCTCTTTACTCTGAATTTCTTGTTTCAGTTCTGAAAACAAATGTATTGAAGTTATAACAATGAGCAAATTACTTGTACATAATATATATTTTATTCACTGTTTAAAATCCCATAGTTTTAGTTATATAAAATATAATAATATAACTTTACTGTTTTCGAAAAAATCTAAATCTTATTAGTGAAGAGTGCACAGAAATAATTTTAAGTATAGTCCAATTTTTGGTCATAAAATAACACAACCAATATTATTTGGTTAATGAGTACACTATGTCACTACCACAGACTAATGAAATATTTACATTGTATCCAATTCATTTATTTGCTCATTTTTAAGTGTGCAGGTATCTTCCAACAAGAAATAAAAACAAATTGAAATGTAAATCAAAATAAATTGTACATAATAAATTGTGTTGGTAAAAAATGCCTAAAGTTGACAAATTGAGAGCGACAGGTAATACTGCAATAAAATTAAAATACAAATAAATTTTTAAAAAACTAAATAAATATTAGGTTCTTATATAGTAAAGAATATTCATTAAGAAAATTCTGTATGATTAAAGAACTAAATTTTATATAAATTATAATTATGTATTTTTAGGAAAAATTGTATAATTGTTCACTTTATTTGTACTACCTTAAATGTAATTGATTTCTTACTAGATATATATTTACCTAACTTATTAGTGTTTTACACTTAATACTAAAAATAAAGGTATAAATGATAATAATTTCAACTCTAATAAATATTTGATGGTAAGAAAATATTATGACGTGTTACTTTTTGGACTTACCACTAATTTCATCTTTTAACCTTTGGACCATTGCTTGCAAACTTTCTTTTTCATCAAGTTCTACTTCAAGGAGTGCATTTCGTTCAATTGCATCATTCATTTTAGTTTCAAAGTCTCCTAAAGATGCACAAGTTTCCCTGAAAATATAAATCAATGGATCTAGGTTATTTATTTATATTATTTTAGCTAGGTAACACAATAAAAATGTATTAACTAAATTAATAAATTTAAAACTTCAAACCTACATAAATTATATCTAATTTTTACAAACAATTAAATTGTTATTAAGAGGATATCTAGTGTTTACACACTGTTCAATTTATCTCTATGGCCCGAGCGCAACATAAATAAAATGCATTCAAGCTTATTTTTTTTTTATGGTTTTGAGTAATCTTACATTAAAACCACTCATTACAAAAATTAGGTATGGAAAACAATATTTTTAAGGGTACCTACAATATTTATTTGTTTAAATATAGTCTCAAAACAATTTAATATCCATTTAAATTTACACATTTTTTTTTACTGTCAAAAATGTCAGAAATCAAAAAAAAAAAATCAATCTAACCTTATATTTTACCAAATTTATCTATGTTGCTTGTGAGTTTGAGAGAAAACAAATACTGAATTGACATTCTTCTAGGACTAATCTAAAAATAGTACTACACAGAACTAAAAATTAAAATAGGTAAGTCACCAATTTGATGTAGGTAAACCAATAACTTTTGTTATGACAAAAATAATCAGTTTTTTTAAATATTGAAAAACATTATTTATTACTTTTGATAATATACTTAATATTATATAGGTACTTTTAAAATATTTTATATCAGTTATAAGTTAGTTATGGAAGTACTTAATAATAGTAACATATTTGATAATAAGAGTAAATTTAAACATGTAGTAGTCCTAACATTAGTTGGCAAAGATATAAAATTTGGTTAACTGTAGGTAATGAGTTATAAATAATTAAAATGTAGCAGAATGAAATTAGAGGTGGGCAATTATTCAATTTCATCATCAATAATAATCAACTATTAATTAAACAGTGAATATTGTTGTTTAATTAAACAATTTAAAATAATTGTTATAATCGAACAATGGTAAAAAATAAAAATGCAACATAATAATACAATAATTATTTTTTTTAGGTGATCTGATCAAAAAAAAAAAAAAATTATGTTTGACTAGTATACTTTTACTAATGGATTTACTCAATGTAATTTTTAAGGGTCATAGAAGATGTAGCTGGTAACGGACTCAGAAGAAAGAACAATTTAACAATGATAGATTACTGGAAAAGCTTTTTCTTTTCCTTATCTTGACTACCACCTAATGCTATGACCACCAGCTTGATCGTGGTTGAAATATACAGGTTATTGCATATTGACTCGGATTGTTATCATCAGAAATAAAATGGCTGTGTAAAGGGATATCACAAATATAAAATTTTCTTATCATAAAAAATACACTGACAAAAGCTAACAAATTCAAAATTCCCGCACATGTATAGGTACCATTTTCGTTTTTATCATCAAATATTTGATCTAGAAGGGGTATAAATACAATAACCTTGTATACTTCAACCATGGGCTTGATACAATTCCATTTGACTCTTAATTATCATTTTTATATAATTTTATTAAGAGGACGTCACACCCGCACGTATTGTAGTAGTGGCTCCAAAATTTCTGAACATATGTGGTAGAAAATTATATATGCAACAGCGTGCCTATATTTTAGATAACATAAATACAATAAAAGTTATTTGCTTCTAAATATTTGGTTTTTTTCATTTGCTTATAAAAAATGGTTGGATAGTGCTATTAAAAAAAAGCATGCTGTTGCACAGATAAAGTTCTTCTTTACGTGTTGTAAAAATTTGGTAGTTCTACAACAAATATGGTGCGAGAACAGTTGTCCAGCGCAAAACAGTTTTTGCTATGTTGTGTATTTGTAAGACGGAGACAACACATGTGGGTGTTACGTCCTCTTAAGACTACCAGGTATCCGGCTATAGTTTTTTTTAACTTTAAAGTACTGAAAACCCATTCTTAAGTAATGATATACCACAATTACTTTGATATAATAATATAAAAATATTTAACAATTTAGGTATATTGAAATATAAATATAAATATATTTATCAAGTATATATAAGTTATTGATTAAAAACCAACAAACCTTTGTGACTTTTCTAAGTCTTCAGTTTTCTGTTCCAATTCTCTGATGTATTTTACATAGTTTGTTTCTCTTTCGTGAAAATGGATAGCCTCATCTTGTAAACTATGTATTTGGTTCATAAGATTTTGCTGCTCTTCACGGTTTTTAGTCTATAAAGCATAAAGCAAACATAGCTATTAATTGTTTGTAATAGAGATGTTCAAAGATGCACATTAACTTGTTAAAAAGTTAAAGTTATTTTTTTTTAACTTTTAAACTTATTAACGTATCAATTAATAAGAATAAATTTATAATTCAGATAAAACTGCTACTGTTGTAACTTAACTTTTTATAATTAATTATCATTAACGTGCAGTTAAGTTAATTTTCTTTTCGTATCATGTGGAGCCAACTAACAATACTGATTTCTGGTCTCTTTTTCGATTTTGGTCATTTATTTTTTTAATATTGTACTATAATAATCTGATGTTTGTACAGTGATAAACATTTTGGTACATTTTTGTGTAAATCAAAATACTAGAACACTTTAGGACTTAAAATTATTGTAGCTTGAAAAAAATTTTATTTTCTATCATAACTTTTAACTGAAGGAAACTTAATTGAATTAACTTAACTTGTCACAGTTAATTATTTTAATTAACTTGCTCAACCTCGGACATTAAGAACACTGGATGAGCTATACATTTTTCCTTTGTTAACTTTGTTTACTAAATGTTAAATTATTTTAAACTACGAACCAAATATTTATTTAATGAATAATAAAATCTAATTCAACCAAGAACATACCCTTAATGTATCGAGATCAAATTGTAGTTGATTGTTTTTTGATTTGAGCTCCTTGTTGTTTTTCTCCAGTGCCTCTACATCCATTTCCAATTCACGTTCCAGTGACTGAGACTGTTCCCGAAAATCATCGTATTCTTTTTCCAGTGCTTTGTACTTTTCCTTCCAGTCTTCATTGTCTGTTTCATTTTGATCAGTCATCGTTTCTTGATTATATCAATCCAGCAAAGCACCAACAGTACTATGACCTATCGACGAAACTTGTCAGATTTTAAATGTAAATGCCGAAAGATAAACGTACCTACTTTGTCTACAAAATGACTGAAACTGATCACAATATAATTATTAATTACTGGCAATGAAACGGTTGCTTGAAAGTCTGTTGTCCTACCAGCAGCTGATGTGATGCTTGTCCCCAAAGCCCTGTATAGTTCTCGATATCCTTCTCCGAACCACCGCCTCGTCCAGCGATTGACTCTCAGTGAATGATCGACTTCGAAGAACGGAATAAATCAAATCGAGTTCTCACTTCTCGACCATCAACGTCCGACGACCGTAATCAATTTCTGAACGAAATCGGTGGACAATCACGACAATATTGCGCTACAATAACATCGTCGATCCGAATAATAGAAAGTGCTCTGTGTGACTGTCAGTCCGTGTAACGTTATCAGTTGCAGCTGTGGAATGTGTTTCTGGTTTCATAACACGGGCACGAAATATTCGGTGTGACGAAACGACCGACACAAGAGCGCAGTGCGCACGATAGTTTGGGAATTGGGCAACCAGTAACGAGTAACTACTGTTGATTGTTGATTGGTGGTGACTCGCGGGTCGTGCGAAACGTTCCGTTCCGCCGTTTCGGTCGAACGATCACCGCGGTGGTGGGAGTCACTGTTGCCAAAATAATCGTGCACAGTGTGGCCACGGTTTAAATTTCCGTGCGCGCGGTGGCACGATGATGTTCGGTAAATTGTTCTGTGGTAAAAGGATAGTCACTCAGCATTGAACTCTATAATTACGCTACGGTGTACAAACTACAAGCAATTACTAAAAAAATTATATTACGTTTCTATTTACCAGCTAATGACACCAGATTGCTCCGGTGTAGCCTGCCGTTGTGGCCGCTGTTCATTTACATTTCCCACATTGATATACCAAAATAAATATAGGTATACCTACCTACGAAATTACGAAATATTAAATGCCAAAATGGCAAATGCCTTTAGATACCAAAGTCAAAAACGTTTACTTGAATAATTCTACTAATAAAATGTTTATTTTAAGAGGATGTCAGAGCTCTAAATGTTTTCTCTCTCTGGTCCACTCGCAACATAGACAAAACGCATTAACGCAGAATCATTTTTTCTATGTTTTTAAGTAATCTTAGAGTAAAATCGCCCATTACAAAAAAAATTGAGAATAATATTTTTGAGGAAATGACATATCCATTTTATATTTTATTGTTATTTGATTTTATATTGGACTTTCAAAATCAATAAAAACATTTTGTTAATTAAAATTATGTTTAAATTGTTTTGAGACAATATTTAGACAAATCGATATGTCATTCCCTCAAAAATATTATTCTCTTTCTTTTTTGTAATGAGTGATTTTACTCTAAGATTACTTAAAAACAGAATAAATAGTTCTGCTTAAATGCGTTTCTTATATGTTGCGGGTGGGCCAAAGAGAGAAATGACAAATAGTACTCTGACATTCTCTTAATAAAATTTTGGTATGATTTGATAAATGTATTTTATGGTGAGACTAAATGGTTATTAATTTATTATATACTGTAAATATTAATTTTTTAATTTTTACCATATTTTTTATAAAACTATAGAAACTATTGTTAATTATATAATTTAAGTATTACCTTATTTAATTTTTCTTTAGTATTGATATTTCATAATGCTGTATAAATATGATATAGGTAGGTGTAGGTATTATACATACTGTTTTCCGCCTTAAATATATAATATTTGTACTAAATTGTAAGTTATTTTGTACTACGATGTGATAAAATTCATAATATTATATATTATAATCACCTATAAGTACCTATAGTATTATTATAATATGTGAATCGGGAAAAAATGTACTTACAACAGCGATGCCCCTAAAAAGCCTATCCATAACGCCGCGTGAACATAATAATTATAATTTATCATCGTTAATGAAACAACTATTGATTTGTTGGTAAAAAAAATGCATGTAAAGAAGGCGTTTTAGAGTAAAATTTAACTAAGCAAGTGCTTGGGATTGTACAATAGTGGTAACGGGAACAAACAGTACCTACTTGATATGTAAAATATTTGCAAACATCAATAAATTTAGTCATTACCTTCACTCGCTTTCATAAACCTATTTTGTTCAACTATTTAATTGAATTGCTTACGAGAGTCAATTTTATCAGAGACTTAGAAATTTTACTTGAATGCAATATGTCTATCTCCTCACACGTACATTCGATTACTAATAAAGCTTTCCAAATGTTAGGTTTCATTTACAGAAACACAAGAAATTTCAAAAACATAAACTCTATAACATTATTGTACTTCTCACTATTATGAGGTTTCACTTAGAATTTGACTCTATAGTTTGATCATCTAATTATATGCTCTATCAGGTAGACAATGTACAATATAAATTCCTAAAATCAATCTGCAGTAAATAAAATTTGGGTATTGACCAGACTCATATCACCTGCAGTCTACACATATCTGTGGATGTCTTAAATCTTTATGCGAATTAAGGAGAAAAGTTTCATGCTTGATATTCTTGTTAGATTTACTAAATGGTAACATAGATTTCTCCCAGCTAATTTCTATGGTTGGATTTAACGTTAGAATTAAGGGTACCTACGAGGTCACAAAATGTATTCGTTGTCCCACTTACAACACTAACCGAAGTTCCCTATCAATTTTTCCCAGAATTCTTACTTTAACTAACAGTGTATTATTAATCAGATCGATTTCTTTTTATGTCACGCCATGTTTTTAAACACCTTGTTTATGTAGCATTAACTTCTGCTGTTAGATTAAAATCAAAAACATCCCTCGACATGTTATGTAAAACCACCATGGGTGGGTGTTATAGAATTATTTTTGCACCATAATTTTTACAACATTGATTTACCCAGGTTAAAAAAATAATTTTGATACGTTATACTTAACGCTTAAGCTCGGTTAGCTATATAAGCGTTGTACTGTGGGTAAAACACCGAAAATCGTAAACTTCGTAAGGCTATACCATAAAAACTAATAATTTCCGGTGGTTCGTTTTTGCATCATATACATCTTAACTGGTTGCAACACACAGGAATCGGAAAAAAAATAATTGAAAAATTTGCGTGGGCGCTAAACTAGATTATAACACTACATTAAAAAAAGATTTTAGGGGTTTTAAGAAATATTCTTCCAATTATCACATTTAATTATTTTACTATATTTTAGTGATATCATATTGGTAGTTTAAGTTTCTATTTTATAATAGATCAATAAAAAATAGGTTACCTCAATCACATTTTTTAATTTAAATCCCGGTACAGTCAAGTTTTGGACGATTACCTACACAGGTAACTTATAATAATTCATATTGTAATTTAATTAGGTGCCAAAAAAATATAACTTCTCAAACACTGTGTCTAGAGGAACTGGCGGGATAATGCATTCGAATAATAGAATGTCAATAAACTTGCGGCCAGGTTTTGCATAGTTAAATAACCGAAATAGAAAACCAGAACAGGTCGTAGGAACATTGCTGATCACAAAGATTTCTGTAAAAGTATATACGATTTATCAATAGACCGTATAGGTATTAGGCAGGTACTGAGTATAATATATAAGTTCTATGGATTTGTCATAGTTAATATTTAATAATATCTATGGCAATCGTCAATTGTTGAAATTCGTCGGCGACGATTAACAATTCTAATAATTTTAGTGAATAAAAAAATAATAAACCATCAATATAGACGGACAGTTCGTTAAGCCGTATATATTATAATGTAAGTTTTAGCACAAACTCACAGATTTCGTTATGATCGGGTTATTTTCATAAAATATTTCGATACCTTCAAGTTTTAGTTCGGAGCGAGATGATGATGGATGAAGACGGCCTTTTCTTCGGCGACGGCGGCAGTCTAACCTATAGGTTTCACCGGAAGAGTCGATGTTTAAGCGTAAGTTTGTTTCCATATTATTATACTATTTTACATTTACCTTAAGACTTAAATTAAATATTTATTGCCACGGACAATCTGTTAACTGGGTGACGTAGAAGCATTTATAAGTTTAATCCTAAAAGCGCAATGTAGAAAATACGCGAGACCGAACAGTCCAAAGGCCGTCTTCGTTTCACCACTCCAAGTTTAATACTTACCTTTTTGCATATTATACTATAAGCCGGGTATCACCATATTTTTGCGCGAAGTATTTAAAACAATAAAATGTTATCAATCTTTATATTTTATATACATAAATACCTTATAAACCTCATGTATTTTATTAGCATACTTACACCTTTTTTAGTGTAGTCTATACCCTAGATGGCTAGATATAGGTATTAAATGTTTTGCAATTATATAATATTTTACTATAATTATTATTTTTCATTAAAATATAACTTAAAAATACACTTTAAATTAAATTAGTTGTTATCAAGACAGACAGTTTTAACACAAACTCTTTTCTGGACGTTTTCAAAATGGATTATGCTTACAAAAATTGCAGAGTTGTCGTAGCAGTCAGTGGCTAGATCAACCCGTGTGACATAAAATAGGAATTATTCTTGTTTTTTAAATAATTTTTTCGAAAAATATATGTTATATGGTTAGCTCATGCAATTAATAATTTATAGTTAATAGAAATACGGATGTTCAATGTTCTACTTTATAGATATTTTTTTATTGAAATCTTGGTAATAATTTAATTAAAAAATCACTAGTATCAATTTTATTATAGTACGTGTAAAATCACCGGCACAATAGGTGCAGACTTAAATAGTCTTAGATAAGTCTTAAATATCATTAACAAATAAATACAAACAATAGATATTTTAATAGCTTTTTACTATTAACATTCAGTGTAAATAGTTTCTGATCGACTTATATGTAAGTACCTTCTATAAAATAATTATTCATATAAAAAAATCCTAATAATTTAATGCAAGGATTCTCATAAATTGATCTTACAGCA